GTTTCTCTGTGTAGCTTTGCGCCTTTCCTGGGACTCACTTGGTAGCCCAGGCTGGCCTCGAACTCACAGAGATCCTCCTGGCTCTGCCTCCCGAGTGCTGGGATTAAAGGCGTGCGCCACCACCGCCCGGCTCTCTTGATCAAATCTTAAACAAAACCTACACTTTGTACCACAACCAGGACCATCCTCTTCCACACCCCATCGTCTCTTTGTGAAAGAGGAAAGGATTAGATTACATCACAGTACTGTGGGTTTGATGTGACTTCACTCAAGCTCGGTCTGCCCCGAAAGTCATCTATGAGGACAAGAGATGAACCTGCATTAACATCTGCTGTGTTCTCCCGACGCTCTGCATTGGCTGTTTTATCTGTAGTAACTCATTTGGTTTCAACAATCCTTTGTGGATAACATCTTAGCAGTGTTCTATAGGTGATAAAATTGGGGCACGGTTTTTTGAAAGTTGTCCAAGGTTGGATGGCTACCCAGTGGTAGAAGGACTCAATATGTAGTGGCCTGCCTGCAGACTCACTACTCATGGATCAGACAGGGTGGTGCCTACAAGAGGTTCAGCAGTGCCTGGCACACAGTGAACACTCAGCAAATCTCCAACAAAATACATATCTGAAATAATATGGCTTTATAGCTACACCTTGCAATAAAACATACATATACACATAAAACACAAACACATTTTATCTAACAATGTAACTTTTTGTCAGTAGATTTTTATTATCAAAAAAATTGAGGTTCGGATTTTCCCTTGTGCTGAATTACAAAGCACCAGTGAACCCAGGGACTCTTTCAGGATCTATTCTGAAGCTGCATAAGGAAATGCAGTTATCAAGTACTTCTTGATTACTTCAGAACTTGATTACTTGATCACTTCAGAAACAGATTGTGTCAGCAGCATTCCCATTTTGTTTTACAGATGAGGATTTATGAAATTGTAGAACATATCTTTGTTATTTATTTATTCAGATGTAAATCACATACCAATAGTCTGGAGGAAACATTGGCCTGTCTCATCATCAAAAGGTATACACTGAGTATCTGCTCTGATGGCAGATTTCTATTGGAAGCAGCTCTTCCAAGGAACTTCTCTACTTGGGTAACAATCAAGTGTAGTTAAATTACATAAATAATACATATAAGTGTTAAATAAGGTACATTATGACAGATAGATTTCTGGTCCCTAATAAAACTCCATGTATGACTCCCTGTTTACCAAAACCAACAGATCTACCTCAGCATATGCAAACTAAAAATACACATCAAATTAAATATTTTTAAACATTTTTTATAACTTATTTATTTTTATTTTATGTGTGCTTGTGTTTTGCCTGCATGTGTGTCTGTGTGAGAGTGTCAGATCCCCTGGAACTGGAGTTACAAATTGTAACTTCAGTTACTGCCATGTGAGTTCTGAGAATCAAACCTGGCCCTCTGGAAGAGCAGCCAGCGCTCTTAACCTCTGAGCCATCTCTCCAGCCCCTCAAATAAAATCTTAACAAAAACACTACAACTAAATTCAAAGTGATTCTCTATATAACTTCTTTTGTCTGTGTGGACAGGGTGAAGAGGATCTCAGCATGGAGTCCTGGCTAGTCTGGAACTTGCTACGTAGAGCAGCAGGCTGACCTCCAAATTGCAGCTATCCTCCTGCCTGGGTTTTCTGAGTACCTTGGCTGCAGCCATGTGCCACAACACCCAGCTTTTACCCATGATAGCTGAATAAAACGTTTTAAATTCAGTCAATCACATAAATACTTTACCTACATAATATCAAATTATCTGAATATACCAAATGTTACTTTCATCAGAGTACAGATTTTCACACTAATGCTTAAATGTTACATATTCAGTCTATAATGCAAATTTTATGCAACTGGTAATATTTTAAGTCCGGCGATCTTCAGTCTAAAAGACAACAAGGAGACACCAGCCTGCCTGTAGATACGTTAACATTCCATAAACCAGTGCTGGAGAACCTGCCAGAAAACCTTATACCCAGTCTTCAATCTCAGCACTTCAAAAACAATTTGTAAGGTTAAAACTCATTTTTAATATTTTATACTTGACCTTACTATCTTGTGAGACATTTCTGTCTCAAATGTGAATCTGGTACACAATTAGGAGTCAGTTACTTGATGCCTACATTTTGGCAGATTTTAATTTCTAGTTTTTTTCTTAATAGCTAATCTAGTTAGATCATTTGGTTGATAAAGCATTTTATATTATAAAGGGGAAAATAACGTATATATAAACAATAAAGAAAAACTGATACTACTCTAAGTAAAAAAGAAAATCACATAGAAAAAAAATTTGGAAGAAGCCACCAAGTGTCTAAGAACTGGCCAGATTAGCACTTTTATTTACAGCCTTGTTGAATGACACCTGACATGCTTCCCGGGGTCACCTGCTGATCCCTGAACTGCCAACCACAAACACGGGCACATATCCTCTAAAGTAGGAAAATTAGCTAATATAGTCCAACTACCGTACTGCTTCACTGTTTGGGTATTTCAATGTATTTTTTTTTAACTTTGTTCAATACTTAAAAAATAATTGTAGCTTTATAAAGTTGGAATGCAGAACTAATCACTAAACCTTTTATGCATACCTGAGTCATGAAATGTTAAACAGCACAGACATGAGAGTAATGAGAGATTTTATTTTCTTACTTTCATCCAAATACCCTTTCTGAAAAACATAAAAGCATGCACACTGATGGCACTCTTATAACGAAAAGCTATTGTAGCCCCTCAGCTGCAATTCAACAGTAATATAAATAAAATCTTAAATTATATTATATGAAAGGATTCACAGGTAGGCTGTTAATTTTCAGAAAATAGTTATGTCAAGTCAAAATTAACATGTTGAAGAGATGTTTCTAATTTTTCAAACATTTTGATACAATTTATTTCCAATTACCACATTGACTGCTCTTGAGAAGAGTAAGTACAGTGCTAATGTTCAAAAGTTCATATGCAGACCGCTTTGCTCTGTTTAAAAAGAACCAGTTACACCCATGTAATTCTAATGGTGCTGTCTTCTAAAATTCAAATGCACAGCACACACATAATATTTAAAGATCTGTTTTAATTTATGTGTATGTATGTATGTATGCATGTGCATGTGGCTCTTCACAGAGGCCAGAGAATATGTCTGATCCCAACTGAGCTGGAATTATAGGTTTTTGTGAGCCTCCATGCAGGCGCTGGGAACTGAACCCTCTGCAAGAATGGTAATTGCTCTCAACTGCTGAGCTGCTTCTCCAGCCCTCAGCCATGTCTCAAGTCTCATAACTTGTACTGATTTTGATCTGGTCAAAATAAGCTCTAATAGGACCACTAAGAAAATATATTTAGCTAAGATGTAAGATTGATCTCCACTTCATTTTTTTTAAGTAAAAGATGATTACAATTCGGCACAGTAACATGATGAACAAGTTTTTTTTTGTTTTTAGGCCACTATATTCTGTGGATGTATGTGTACTGCATATGAATATACATATCCACATGTGAACATGTATATCCATATGTGAATATACATACTTGTATATGGATATGCATATTCATATATGGATATACATATTTATGTGAATATACATATCCATATATGAATACACAAACACAGAAACCAAGTGACAGCACATGACACTTCAAAGACATTTAAAAAGGCCTATTTTCTGGTTTTAGGAAAACAATATAAGAGGCAAATTTTCCCTCAATTAAAAAAAATTTATTGTGATTAAAATGGTGTATTTCAACTCGATCATTGGTATAATAATTTTGTGACAAAAATCTGTATGACGTATGCAGAAATGTTACCTTAAAGGACTAGTAGGCAATCATGCTTAAATCACAACATAAAAATACAGCAAATCAAATTTTAGTAAGCCTCCTTCCATAGGAGACACTGTTATACGACCGAGAACAGTGTGATTTGGTCCTGGAAGGTAGCTCTTGTTCACAGGTGATATGTATCAACAGTGTGGGTCCATGAAAACTAAAGAGAAATGACGTTTACCCAATCCTGACATTTCTTGACATAAACAAATGCAAACCGCTTCTGCAGCAGCCAAGGAGGCTTACCCACAGGAGCCAGGGAAATGCCCTCTGAGCCGGGCAGCACTGCCTGCACCCAGACAATGAACAGCACCACTGAAGGACACCAAGCCAGAGGGCAGGGGCTAACAAGCAGCAAGCGACCAGAGTGCACACGCTCAGACCAAATGCAGTGCCAAAGCAGAGGGAGACAGGCAGAAGGCACGTGCTAGGACAGAGTCAGGATGCTGGCCAACCTCCACCACCTAGAGCTCTGTGGATGTCCAGTCTGATATGAACGTAACAGGGACCCTCAGTTTATAAGCACTCACAGCACAGATGCTGGGAGGTGCTACCTCAGCAGCTCAGACACTGGGCTATTTAAAGCTCTGCCAAATGAGACAGTTATAACAGAGCTTCAACTCTATTCTGACACTTTACACATTATTCTCTGTAGAATGGGGGATATGCAACTTAAGCAATTTTAATAAATATTAGAAATGTTTGTTATTTTGTAAATATAAAGAAAAGTAGCTAAATAGAGCAATATAATAAAAATATACAATAGACAGATCTTTTCTGCCATGAATATTTCTCACCTTTTTCTTTGAACATCTCAACACATAATTACAGTATCTTTCATTGACTTGCAAAATTTAACGAAAACCCAGCATCACATAGCTTCAAAATATAAAATACTTTAGTGATAAAGAGTTTGAGCTGCCAAGTAATCAAAATGGAAGATAACCAATATAGTGAAATATGCTACAAAGTAATGTTAAAATACAGCCATCTGAATTACAAACATCAAATTATATAATCCAAATAATCTTCACAAGTGGATATCAGTTCATGAAGAACATGAAAAATAGCATAAACTCCACTTAACTTTCATGTTTCCAGCAATCCCAGCACCTGAAAAGCCACGTGTGTTTGCCCCAAATCAACGCATGTTGGCTGTGGTCACTAATTCTATTTTATCCAGTGTTCAATCAACAAGGCTTTTAAAAAACTTCTTATTTAATTCAGGAAACAATGTGACGTAATGTGTAGCCATCAGTAAGAGACATGACTGGAGCCCGCTCCTTGCTTATGTTTTAATAACAAACCATAGGCAGCCAAGGAGGGTTCCATACAACCAGGTGCCCACATACAGTTTCCTTCCAGACTCCGTCATGAGCATGACAGCAGTCAGACTACCCAAGACCAACACTGACGGTAGAGTCTTCTTGACACTTAGTCTGGAATGAACACTTTTCCCAGGAAATTTGTTTCTTCTTTCTGGATCTGGTGAATCATAGAATTCTACGAGCAACCTGTGGCCAGAATGAAAAACAACAGAATTGGTACTTTCAGTTTTGGACATTTTGGTGTTGAAACAAGCAAACAAAAATCATCTACTGGATACTAGTTACTTGCTAAGCAAGTACAGTTCATTAGAAAATCCAGGTAGGAGAAGAGACATCAGAGGCAGCTCAGCAGGGAGCTCACTACTGGTTTACAGTATTGTAGCTTATCCTTACCACACAGGAAGTGAAACACAAAACACTTGATGCAAGCCTTTGATGAAGACTTTGGGGGACACACACACACACACACACACACACACACACACACACACACACA